ACACAAGTATTCATCCATCCATCCGTCCATCCATCCATCCACCCACACTTTTAGCAGTTTCTGTGTGTATGTAATAATGCAGTTGACCAGAATTTACTTTACACCATTTCTATCAAAATTTCTAGAAAGTGAAGTGCAGTAGTTTGCATATTAATCAAATTCTAAAGGTGATTCTGGCCCTCAGATGTGTCTGCACCCTGCTTGTTTAGAGGCTGTAATTAAGCTATTTTTTGTTCGTCTGTTTATATTTTTACCATAAGGCACATATGCTCACCAGAGAGACAAAGACAGGCAGAGAAAGAGAGTGAGAAATGACCCCCGAGGGGAGATGGCCATAGCACAATCCCTTCTCTTCCATTCTTCTCTCAAATCAATATTATATAACTGCACTTTGACCACATCAGCAAGTCCCTTTATTTTTGGTTGAAATTGCTATTTATTAATTACATCCTCAAATAGTGTGTGTGTGTGTGTGTGTGTGTGTGTGTGTGTAAAATGATCCAAACCCTGAAATTGATGATTCCTTAGAAATTTGTTGAATATCCAGATCTCAACTAAACCTCAAGCCTTTTCAAAGACCATTTCAAAAGTGTGTCGACTTAGCCATCAAAATGACTATCTTTGGGGCCAGCAGATGGAATAGTGCTTGTGGCGCTGGACTCCCATGTGGCCGACCATGGTTTGAGTCCCAAACCTGGTGGCTTAAAACTCATGCCAGGCACATGTGCATGCAGGCCCAAAATCCTGAGAGGAGAACTGATAAGAAAGGATTGTGGCATAGCCATCCCTCCAGGGGGTTGGTTTCTTACTTTCTCTTTTTCTCTCTCTATGTCTCCCTGAGCATGCATGCCCTATACCAAAAATCTCTCTTGAAAAAAAAAAAAAAAGTAAATTGTTTTAATTGCTCATTTTTGGTTTGAGCCTCACCCAGTGAGATGTTCCTGGTAATGGACAACAGGTACTGACCTCCATCTCTGCAGAGTGGAGAGTGCTGCTCAATTTAGCTAGCTGAGTATATTTTCCCACTATCCACATGAGGCTCAGCCTTTTTCTAAGGCAGAGAGCTGATCTGCATTCTTCACAGGAAAGCCACTGACCACTAGAGATCTAGATTTGTGGAGAATATGTTATCATAGCAGTAAAATCTCAAGGAATCGGTTGAGAGAAGGGCTGCAGGTCCAGCGTATCTGGTATTGTGCAGAGAAACAAGTGTACACCGGATATTAAGCCCTGTGTAATTCAATTTGGCAGAAAGGAAGTGTGATTTTTATGATAAGCAAATACTAGTTCTTATTTCATACATGTATGCATGCATGCACGACACTCACAAGCATCGAACCTGTGAACAATTTAAAGACATCACTCTGGAAAGACTCACTATGAACACAGGCCATTAGTACTTTCAGTGTGATTTTATCCTGATGTGCTGGTCCTCTCAGAAAAGGAATTTATCTCCTAAGTCATTTGAGACTTTTTAAAGAGAGAATGGAGTGCTCGCTGATGCAGTTTACTTAGAGAATGATAGCTCCACTATGATGTAACGGATTGGATGAAAATATCTTCTATCTATTGTTTCTTCTGTATTTTTCACTTGACATGATCTTTATTTTATTCTCTGGAAAAGACAGAATGTTTTCTTTCAGAAAGGAGCCCTCTTTAGGAGGTTCAATGCTCTTTTCTCCCAGTTCTGTTATCAGAAATCACTTTTATAGCTCTGCAATAGCTTGACAAATGGATTTTCCAGGCCCTAAAAGTTAAATAAAGGAGCCCTCTTGCCCACCTCAAGTTTAAGAAAACACAATTTACAAATAACAAATGGTGATAATCAGTATAATATACCCCTTAGACATAGATAAATCTAGTACCAGGCAATTTTAGGAAATCTGTAGACATGTAAGTTAAAAGGTTCTATCAAAATCTGGCAGACCAGGACCAGTTAAACAGTCTTGGGAAAGACAGGTCAACCTTTTTATACTTGTGATAAAGGATTCAAAATGGATCTTGATCACTTCTGCTTCCTGCCAGACAGTGAACTCCCCCGGCTCTCACTGTCTTGCTTGTTTTCTTATGTCTGGCAGAGTGTCTGGTACAGGATGAACTTAAATATCCATGGGATGAATGAATGAACATGGAGATGAATGAAAAGATTGTAAAGTGAGTAGCAATGTCTCAAGAAGTTCAGCCACCTTACGGGTTGAATTAAATCCCCCTAAAAATCCATATGTTGAAGTCCTAACCCCAAGTGCCTCAGAATGCAAACTTATTTGGAAATAAGTTGCTACAGATATAACTAGTTAAGATGAGGTCATACTGGAGTAGGGTGGGACCCCAATCTCATATAACTAGTGTCATTATAAAACAGAAGAATTTGGAGACAGAGCTATACACATGGAAGAAAGCTACACAAAGAATGAAATTTGCTGCCACAAATTAAGGAAGTGCCAGGGGTTAAGGGAGGCTTAGATTCTTCCCCTAGTGACTTTAGAGGAAGAGACAGAGAGAAAGGGAGGGGGGGGAAGCAACCCCCAGTAGAGTGTGGTCACACAGAAATCCCTTCTTTCCCATTTCTCAGCCTTGTCTGGGTTTGGGGTATACACATGTATACACACACACACACACACTGTATTTTTCAAAGCACTGAGGCCAGTAGTGAACTACCATCAGCCATGTGGGATACTGCTCCCTTAACAAGTAAGCTATGGGACCATCCCTTATGCTTTTTTCTTGCTTCCTATCTTCTCCTTCTTGTGTGACTGATCATTTTTCTTCTCTATTCTCTTCACTCCCCTTCTGCTAATTAAAGAGCTATGTATCTATGTTAGTTCTTCCAATGCTTACTATTGTGTGTGTGTGTATATATATATATATATATATATATATATATATGCACACACTTGATTTTTAATGTATATATATATATATATACTTGATTTTTAATGTATGTATGTGTGTGTGTGTATATATATATATATGTATACACTTGATTATTAATGTTTAAACCTGATTTGTATTGTTAACTTCTTTTGACCACAATATGAGTGTTGTAACTCTTAAGTTCCAATAATCCTTCATTTATTCTCCAAGTTAATTTTGTCTAGTTTTTAGGCCCACCTTATTTATAATGAGCACAACTTAGGAACTGTTTTAATAGCAAGTATGTGCTCTGATTTGTCCATATGTTTGTCCATATCTTCCACCAATGGTGCTTCTCACATGCCACTTCTGTTCTGGGTTCAATTTCCTTGTTCTAAAAGCACAGACTTTAGTAGTTTTTAACCAAACAATTGTAAACTCTAGCAGTTCTTTGTGGTCTGAATGTGTTATGTAAGTCTCATTCTCAAACAGTAATTTAGTTTAATAGTTATTCTAGGGTGGAGCCAGCAGATGACATAGTGTTTATGTTGCTGGACTCCAACATTGCTGAGAGTTCAAGTTCCAGACCCAATGGCTTGAAAATCATGCTGGGTGCATGTGGGTGCATGCCCAAGATCCCAGGAGGAGAAAGGAGAAGTGATTGTGGTGTGGCCATCTCCGTAATTGGGAGGATTACTCACTTTCTTTCAAACTGTCTCTGTCTCTCTGTGGAAAGTACCAGCACCCTATGGCAAAACCTCCAAAAAAAAATAAAGGAGTGTGACCAGTAGTTAGCATAATGGCTATGTCGGTGACCTCCCATGTAGTTGACCATGGTTCGAGTCCTGGACCCAGTGGCTTAAACTCACGCCAGGGGTGTGTGCATGCGTGCCCAAGATCCCGAGAGGAGAATGGAGGAGAAGGGATTGCAGAGTGGCCATCCCCCCTGGGGGGTGATTTCTCACTTTCTGTCTATCTCTCTCTCTCTTTCTGGCGAGTGCACATGCCCTGTAGCAAAAACCTCTCAAAAAAAAAAAATATTCTAGGTCAACAGCTATTTTCCTCAGTATATCTTCTGCTGTATCTATTAATGCAATTTGATGTTATTTTTTTCTTTTTTCTATTCTTCTTTCTATTTTTTTAGATGCAATCTGATATTACTAATTGCATTACTTCAGTAAGCATTCCCAAAATCAAGTTTGTGTGAAAAAAAAAAAAAAATCGAACTGGGGCCAGCACAGCTTGGTGGTTGAGGTGCTGGACTCCTACATGGCCAACCGTGGTTTAGGTCCCGGACCTATAGGCTTGCTTTCTCACTTTCCCTCTCTCTTTCTGGTAGGCACATGTGCCCTTTAGACAATTTAAAAATAATAATAAATAAACAAGTAATTCATAAAACAAAAATTGACCTGAAATTTTCATGAGAAACGTGCTAAATTCATTGCCTTTTAAGGCTGAGTAGTAGTCCATTGTCTGTAAATATCACATTGTCTCGATTCATTTATAGGTTGTTAGGCACTTATGTGGATTCCATATCCTAGCTATCGTGAATTAAATGCCTAGTAGAGACAAAAAGTTTCATAAATTTAACCTATTAATTCTCAGGAAATAATTTTTAATAGTTCCATATTTTACAGGTAAATCGAAGTTCAGGGTGAGCAAATAATTTATTCTCGAATTCGTTGCTGGGAAATAGCACTCCTGGTATACAAACCTAGGTCTTCTAGTTCCAAATACAGTGTAGCTGCCCCTAGAGTCAGTATCATTTATTTTTATCCCCTCATTTATTTATATGAGACAGTGAGATACTATTAATTAAGACACAGAGACTTGGGTCACTCTCATTTAATAATCACATAATTTATAACAGAGTTTTCCTCACAGGATCCAAGGTGACAGGCAAACCAGTGTGCCCTCTGCTACATAGAACATCACTCTGCTACTTAGAAAGCTGAGAGGTGGGGGCTCAGCTGCTTGCTTGGGTAAACAGGTTCACAAGTTTTAGATTCAGGGTAGGTTCTCTCAGCCACATGCTAAGAAACTGAAAAACAGCAAAATTGAAAAATAAATGACCTTTGAAATACAGAAGAGCCTTTACTCTGGAGAAAAATGTAATTCCATTTTCAGGCACATTCCACTTCTTTTATGATTTGAGGATATCACAAGGCATGCCAGCAAGTCTAATGGGATATATTTGGAGGAGCAGGTCATTTCTGGGGTAGATTTTTTTATTTATTTATAGCATGCAAGCATGGCAATTATAGGGACTAAATTACAATCTGGAGCCTGAATCCAATTAAGCTTTGAGAACACCAAATCATTTAGGCTCCATGGGCTAAAGTTTTCTCACTTATAAAATATAGAACTTGAGGTCTGGGAACTGAGATATTGCTTGGGAGGCTGCTCTTGCTTCCTTGCTCCTGGCACCACTGAAAGTGCAAGCTGGAGAAAGAGCAGACTGCAATATGACCAGAAGCTGGGAGCACCCCCTAAGAAAAGAGTGAGGTGACTGAGGAGAGCTGATTGCAGAGGCCTATGGGATTTAAGCACCAGAACCAGAGGCTGAGACACATCAGAGGGAGAGGCATAAGCAGTGACATTGTCCAATTGGAGGAGAAGGTGCAAGAGAGCTGACTAGAAATATCCATGTTAGTATCTTTCTGGGGTGGGCAGGGGTGAGGGGAGTACAATAAGTGCTCCAGGAATGAGGCAAGGCAGACAAAGTACAGGAAAAATACAGGCATCTTTGGAACACATAATTTCTATTATAAATATAAAGAGAGTCAACTGTCTGACGCATGAAGTTCCAGAGCACCTCCCACCCTCATATTCTCTCTGGGGGAGAAAAGAAGAGAAATTCTCCTCTGAAACTCTGAACCTCACCTGAAAGACACAGCTCCTTTCCAGTTTCTTCTGTACCACTTTGCAAAGGGCACACTTGAGAGCTAGAGAAGGCATTCCCCCAGCATCACATATCTATTTGAAAAATGAGGAAAAAGTGAGTATTCTACCAAATGCCTAAAACTCAATGCAGAGACACAAGAATTATGAAGACAAGAAAATATTTCCTCCCAAAATGATCACAATAATACCTCACCAATGATGGATATAACACAGAAGATCACAGAAATGTCAAATAATGAATTCAGAATATTCATCATGACAAAACTTAATGAGATGCAAGAGAAAAGACAATCAGCTCCATGAAGAGAGAAAATCATTCTCCGACATGAAAGAGGAACTCTGTGAAGAGATAGACATCCTAAAAAGAATAATATGTGAACATAAAGAATATAATGCAGGAAATTAAAATCTCTCTCAAAAGTATCAAAAGCAGATTAGACCATGAGAACAAAGAATCTCGGAACTTGTAACTAAAATCTCTGATTTAGTCCAAACCACCAAAAAGAATGAAAAAAAATTATTAAAAATGAGGACAACATACAGGAAATTTTAGACACCATGAAGTGGCTGAATATCTGCATAATGAGTATTCCAGAAGACAAATAGGCAAGTAAAGACATAGAAAATCTCTTTCACGAAATACTGTAAGAAAACTTACCAGATCTAGAGAGAGATACAGACATCCAGATCCAGGAAATACAAAGAACACCAAATATATTCAACATAAGAAGATCATCTCCAAGTCACATCATGGCCAAACTGGCAAAAGTCAAGGACAAGAATGATATTATAAAAATGGCAGGATAAAAACGTCAAGTTACTTACAAAGAACACCCCATCAGACTAATCTCAGACCTCTCAATGGCAACAATGCAGGCAAGGAAGGAATGGGAAAACATTTAAAACTGTAAAAGAAAAAAAAAATCAGCCAAGAATATTATGCTTGCCAATGTTATCCTTCAAATGGGCAGAAGAAATAAAATTCTTTCCAGATAAACAAAAACTGAAAGAATTGTCCAACACTAAACCAGCTCTTCAAAAAATAAAGAAAATACTACATTGAGAAAACAAAAGGGAGACTAATAGAAATAAGAGAATACAACACAACTAATAAAATGACTAGCAAAATGGTAAGGTTAAGTCCACAAATACTGATAATAAAGTTGAATGTTAATAGATTAAATTCCCCAATTAAAAGACAAAGACTGCCTTAATGTCTAACAAACAAAAAACAGAAACAGGAGCCTTCTGTAGTCTACTTACAAGAAACTTATCTCAATGACAAAGACATACATAGATTGAAAGTGAAAGACTGGAAAAAGTAATTTCATGCAAATAGAAACCAAAAGCAGGCTGGAGACAAATACTGTTATCTGACAGTATTTGCTATTTGTCAGATATTTCTGACAAAATAGACTTCAAGATAAAAACTATAAAAACAGAGAAATAAGAATACTTATAGTATAATAGTATTATAGTATAATGGTACCAAATGAATTAATTCATCAAGAAATGTAACAGTTGTAATTATTTGGGCACACTGTTAACAGGAGCACCCAAATACATAAAATAAAGACTGCTAGATTTAAAGAGAGCAAGGTCAACTGCAACACAACACACTAATTATTGTGTGTTTCAACACATTATTGTCACCACTGGACAAGTGGCCTAAACAAAAAGTAAACAAAGAGACCAAGGAACTAAATGATAACATAAACTAAATGAACCTTATGGATATTTATACAAATCTTAACCTTGAAATACTAAGTATACATTTTCTCAACCCCAAATGAAACATTTCCAAAGATTGACCACATAATAGAGACAGCTCCAGGGCAAGTGAGAGCCGGACGGGCACTGGGCAACTCTGTGCCTCGTGGAGGAAAGATAACTAAACATGGGCAAAGGAGATCCTAAGAAGCCAAGAGGCTAAATGTCATCATATGCATTCTTTGTGCAAACTTGCTGGGAGGAGCACAAGAAGAAGCACCCAGATGCTTCAGTCAACTTCTCAGAGTTTTCTAAGAAGTGCTCAGAGAGGTGGAAGACCATGTCTGCTAAAGAGAAAGGAAAACCTATATCCCTCCTAAAGGGGAAACAAAAAAGAAGTTCAAGGATCCCAATGCACCCAAGATGCCTCCTTTGGCCTTTTGTTCTGTTCTGAATATTGCCCAAAAATCAAAGGAGAACATCCTGGCCTATCCATTGGTGATGTTGCAAAGGAACTGGGAGAGATGTGGAATAACACTGCTGCAGGTGATACACAGCCTTATGAAAAGAAGGCTGCTAAGCTGAAGGAAAAATGCGAAAAGGATATTGCTGCATACCGAGCTAAAGGAAAGCCTGATGAAGCAAAAAAGGGAGTTGTCAAGGCTGAAAAGAGCAAGAAAAAGGAGGAGGAGGAGGAAGACGAGGAAGAAGAAGAAGATGAGGAAGAAGAGGAAGATGAAGAGGATGAAGATGAAGAAGAAGATGATGATGATGAATAAGTTGGTTCTAGCGCAGTTTTTTTTTTCCCTTGTCTATAAAGCATTTAACCCCCCTGTACACAACTCACTCCTTTCAAAAAAAAAAAAAATTGAAATGTAAGGCTGTGTAAGATTTGTTTTTAAACT